ACTTTTCATTGCTAACTAGTGTAATGAATGACAGTATTGGAAACAACTCTTATCAACCATGGAGAAGTATATTAATTCTTAACTCTTTGGAACAGTTCAGCATACTACTGCACAGCCAGGGATGTATTGAATAATTCAAGTTGCCCCCCAAAAATTGATACACTACTTTATAAAAGATCACAGTAGAATAATGGTGAAATAAATCTGTTTAAATAAGACAATGGGGTAAATTGTCTCTGATTTTTATTTTTCCACTGTTCAAACTACTCCAGGAAGAAGTGTTTTACTACTGGAATAAAGACCTTTGTATCAGGCTTTTGTGCCAAGGTTTTGGTAGCAGGGAGAGGGCTACAGATGTGGCTTCAGAGAAGACAACAGGAACTGACCCCATGTCAGATAGAGCCACTTCCAGACAGCTCTTAAAAGAGTCTGCCACTGGCCAAAACTGTGCCCATCAGCTGTTGGCTCCTCTGCGATATCATATTTAGGAATGGGTAAAAATGCTGCACAGCGGCTGTGAGAAAGAAGAGTGAGGAAAAGTGAGACAAAGAAACCTGGAGACATTAATGCGAATGAAGAAGGTAGGGAGAAGGTGCTCCAGGCACCAGAGCAGAATTTCCTCTGCAGCCCCTTGGAGAGGACTGTGGTGAGGCAGGCTGTCTTCCTGTAGCCCATGGAGCTGCATGGTGGAGCAGGTTTTCTGGCAAGAGCTGCAGCTCATGCTGGAACAGTCTGTTCCTGAGGGATCATGCTTCATGGGAAGGACCCACACTGGAGCAGTTCATGGGTTGTATCGTGTGGGAGGGACCACATGTTGAGAAAGAAGCAGTGGCAGGAAGGAGATGCCATGGACCTCATTCCCCATCCTCCTGTGCTACTTGAAGTAAAGAGGCAGAGGAGTCAGGAGTGAAGACTGAAGTTTAACATGGGAAGAACTGTATTTAATTAGCAATAAGCTATATTTCCCCAAGTAAATCTGTTATGCCCACGAAAATACCTGGTAAGAAATCACCCTGTCCTTAGCTTGATTCTCAAGCTCTTTAATCATATTTTCTCACCCTCTCCTGTGGAGAGACATCTCAGTGGGCACTGGGCAGCCAGCCGTGGCTAACATACCACAACACTGTAAAAAGATAATCTGATCAATGATTATATATATGTAATTACATGTAAGCTTTCATAAGGCATTTAAGTTGGAAGATAAATTCTTGTTCCATTAGATGCAGTAAAAGAGTCTAATACTTCCTATTCTACTCAATCTGATTTTTAACATAATATATAATAGGAGTAAAATATGGTGCAGAATTAACACACAGTAAGGAAAGAACAAAATATGAGAATAATCACATAAATTTATGGTCTTGTGTTAAGAAAAAAATTGGGTTTTTTCAAAATACATGTCTAAAATATGTCAAAGTACATTAAAAATATTGTGTTTCTTTTTTTCTTTTAAGTGCAGACACCTCAAAGCTTGATATTTTTCCTTATTCTAAATTGTTTTCTTAGAGAATTATCATGGCACTATTTGCCTCACACATTTTTTTTTAATTTTTTTTTCTCCCTAAGAGTGAGATCCATGATTTTATTGAGTTCTAATCAATGCCCATAGGACATTAAGGAACAACTAAGAGCCTTCAGAAATATCCTGCCACTTCAAAACTCTAAAAGCTGTGTTTCTTAAATTCCATTTGTAGATACCAATAAAGTAGTACAATGTTTAATGAGAAGCTATGTAAAATATTAGCTGTTGAATCCATTTGTATTTTTATTGATTATTTGACTGGAAGAAAAGCATTAATTTACTAACAGAAATACAGTCTATTGTATGTGTACCATTGCATTTTGTTGAGCTAATGAGACTAGCAAATCCACTTTTAACTTCTGATGTGTTCACTGATTGATGGTATGCAAATGCTTCTTCATTTTAAATTCTCTTAAAAAGATAAACCCCAAAGCTTAAATGGTAAATAGCATGGTTTTGTTTGTCCTTTTCTTATCTGCATTTTCTTCTTTTCAAATGTTAATAACCTTAGGAATTTTTTTATCCAATTTTAGCATAAGCAGTCATGCATGGCCCTTTTCTAATTATGATCAACAGATTCCTGAAATGGCATTGCCTGCAAAATATTCTATTCATGATTAAAGAAGGCAATTGAATCACATTTGCAGTCTAACATAGTTATATTTGTTGAATATATTTAGAATATACCCCTAAATTAGTGCTATTTTTTAGATCATTTTGAATAGGCCTTTTTGATTCCAATAGAATTTTCTCCTTCCTGAAGTCATGTGATAGAAGGTCTGTAATGATAAAAGGCATCCAAAAATCTTCATAGTTTCTGAGAAATAATTGCTTACTAGCATATTTTAAATTCAGTATTGGAGGTTTATTTCCCTTTAAAGTGGGGAAAGTAGACTTGGGTTATTCTGAGGTAACCTTTCAATTGTCATGGAGAGAGGAAGGAAGTCATGGAGAGAGGAGGATTGGGGAATACAAGGGTAGAGATTTCAGTAGAAAAAAGTCACCAATTTTTAATTAAACTCTGATACCTCCCACTCTACTGGAGACGAAGTCTGGGACTGGTCATATGTCCTTCATAGTTATTCTCTACAGTTACTCAAATGAACAGTGGAATAAGTATGCATTGCTTTGGCATGTGTCTTGAAAAGTGTTTACAAAGTACGGTAGAGGGAGATTGAGACATCCCTCAGAAAAGTAGCACTTCATTCAGGAAGGAGGAAGTAACATAGCACAGTCAACTTGATTCACAAAGTCCTATATAACTAATTTGATGTATTTCTATGATAAATTCATCTGCCTTGTGGAGAAAGGGAAGATGGTACACATAGTTTTTCTGGGCTTTACTAAGCTCTTGATACTGTCCCTCACAGCATCCTTCTGGACAAGTTGTCTAGCTGTGGGATGAGTTTGTTTACAGTGCACTGGCTGAAGGGCAAAGGGCTAAAATGGGACATTAGGAAGCATTTCTTTACCTAAAGGGTGATCAAACACTGGAACAGGCTTGCTAGAGAGATGTCAATGCTCCAAGTCTGTCAATGTTTAAAAGGCATTTGGACAATTCCCTTAATAACATGCTTTAACTTCGTCAGCTCTGAAGTGGTCAGGTAGTGGGACCAGATGATTTTTAGAGGTCCCTTCCAGATGAGGTATTCTATTATGTTCTAATCACAGTGTTAATCCACTGTTTTCCTATCAACTGCTATGTGACCACAAGACCACATAAATCACTTTCTTATCTTTCTGCATGTATTCCAATATTAAATAATATACACATTTATGGCATTAAACAAGGTTGAATTGACAGTTGTGAAAATTGTTTGTGTTTCTATCACTGTGTTTATAATCAGTTTGTAAAATTGATCTACATAAAACATTCATGCTATTTATCACCTTGAAAAGGAAAACAGGAAAGACTGTTTTGTGAAGTTTTTCTAGTGACAATCCACATCTTTAGGCACGACTCATTTAAGAGATGAAGAATAGCTCAATGGTTTGCAACCAGATTTAGGGTTAGTTTTCCTGGCTAATTATGCTTAGTCACCATGAGCAAATTGCTCCTGCACTAATCTGTGTATCTTCACTGTCTTCATGTACAGCGTGAAGAGGAATGGACAGGAACACTGGTATACAGCAAATATCATGGATGTCTCTAAGATCAGGAGACATTCTAGTGTTATATGAAAAGGTCATAAATTAACATTATCAGACATTCTCAACTCCAGCCAGGGCAATCATGCATGATCTAATTTTGGTTTACTTTCAAGTGACTAATTTATGGCTTTACTTCTTCATAGAGGCCTCTGAAGTTCTCTGTGTATCTATTGATGAAATAAATATTTTATGAAGCTAATGGAAGTAGCTGAGTTTTCTCTATCTCAGAGAATAGGGAGAAATTATGAAAAATTAGGGCATCTTGTGTAATCTGTCACAGGCACGCAAGAAAACTTAAAAAGTGCTACTCAGAAGGCACCTGAAAGTAAAATATGATCAGTAAGTGATTACAAAGACATGTGTGGGACGAATGTGAATGCTAACTACCCCACAAGAAACTATAATTTCCTCATGAAAAAGAAAAGACACAGCATTGATATTCTGGAATATAAATTTTTAAACTAGCATCATCTGATGATCTTTTTATTGTCACCATGACCATTGGACTACCCAGGTGTATCACACCTACTGAGTATTATAATACAGTGAATAAGTACAAAATGTTTATGTGGCAGAGCTGGACAGAATAGCAGAAACTAGCTTCTAGTTTGATTTTCATCAATATCCATGTTACAATACCAACCTGTTAGCACAGAAATGTTCTCCAACACCATTTAAAGGTGTTTTTCCTACTTGTTTAGAAATGAAGAGGGGAAAGACAGAATCTCAGTTTCCTTAGTAACTCATAAAATCATTTTACTTGATTTTTAGCCACAGATATTACTGTGGGCTGTAAACAGACCTTGGAGCTTATACAGATTTTGGGCAATGCTGGAGCCCTAGGGCTTTATCTCTAAAAGAACTATATTTCCAATGGCTTGTCAGAGGAAAAAAAAAAAAAAGATCTTGTCTGTAAAACTTATCTAAATGATACAAGCTTTTATCAGTAAGCAGTAAGCTGTTACGTGGTATTGCTGTACTTTCAAGTGCTTCAATGTAACCATAAAAGTTCACTTGGCTTTGAAAATCAATAATTATGCACTTTCCATTAATATCGTGCACATCAACGTTTTCAATACAGCTGCTTTACACACAAGAAGATGCTGGCAGAAGAAAAGCAGATGGAGTTTTAGAGAAAGTCAGTGTTTCATCTCACAATGCAGGGAACAAGACCAGAGCTCTTTTGTTTAATAAAAAACTTGAACCAGAGAACTAATAAAGGGAGGAAGTTTGGATTATGAAAAAAAAGAATCACAGATCTTATTTTATTTTCCATTCTTATAAGTTTAATATGTTTAAACTCTATTTAAAAAATACGTTGTCTCACAGTATCTCTGTCTACCTTGTTGATGAACTTGTGTATTAGCTACTGACAACAGAAAAAGACAGTATTCCCTTAGTCTATCCTGAGAGGCAATGACTGGGATTAGACATGATTAGACATTTATAGACATGAAAGAGGGTTAAGAAAGTATGAAGTTAGTCAAAACACAGATCTTTCTGCTTTAGCAGCCTATCTTCAGCAGCAGCCAAAAGCTCAGGGAGGGTCAGAAAAATATGTAGATCACAGATTCCAATCATTTGCAGCTCAGGGAATTCCTGGGTAAAATGCTATTGCTATGTTATTAACAACCTTTAATTTATTTCCATTTTTGTATGGTTAAAATAGAAATCAAGAGATCACACAATCTCCTCTTAGAAAGGAAGTGGCTTTAAATACAACCAGAATTCTCTTACAAGTTCTCAGTTATAGGGACATAAGATATGAAACAAACATATTGCTGGGCAATTACATCAAATTCACAGAATCCTTGTGCAATAGAATCTGCAAATACACATCATCAATTGTACATGGCAAACAGCAACTAATTATAATTTGGTACTTCTTTAATCTAAATATATATGTGATAGTATTTGGGTATTTTAAATAAAATAAATTTTATTCTTTAATTTCAATTTTTTTTAATGAAAGAAAATTGTAATACACATCACCCTGATAGAACTGGAGGACCTGAAATACAGATGTATTTGCTCACTGCTACATGAAAGCAAAATGCAGAAGTAAAGCAAGAAGTAAACCACTGACTTCTACTTCAGACTTACTGTCTTTGCAGGACAGAATGTGAACCTCTCTCATATGTCATGCACATTCTAGAGTACATTTCCCAAAGGTAAAATATAGGACATGTTAATTAAAGTCCACATTTTGCTTTAGAAGAGAGCCATTAAGACAAGTGGAAAGGAAGGACAGATAATGGCCAAGAAAAATTCTAAATTTGTATCCACTGACATAGTTTCCTTTGTTCCTATCAAAAAAATAAGTAATACATAGAAACAATGCGTGCAGTGTTCCTGTATATGTTCAACATGCACTTCTTCAATTACATTTTTATGTAAGTCTTTATGAATAATATAAATTGTTTGCCTCTCCTCTTTAGTGTTGGTCTTGCTGCTGGCAGGGCTGTTTGATGATCTCCCACATCTTCACTCACTGTCTTGGGAGAATCTCCAGCAACATACAAGGAACTTTGTCTGATCCCAAATCCTGTGTTCACTTTCTTCCATCTCCTTACTCTGAAACAAAATTTTTAAAAAGGTGTGATGGTGACATGAAGTAGAAAAGTCAGTTGAAGTTTAAACAATTGGAGATCAAATTTCATCTAAGAAAAAAAATCAGTAGGAGACAGTAGAATTAAGATGAGAAAATCTTTCAGTGTTTTTAACTTTATAGTACATACCCTTTTCAGCTGATACCTTAATAAAGAACAAAAAAGTATAGGGTTTCAGAGCAATTACTTGGAATTGTCTTTCACAGTGAGAAGCAAGCTACACTTTTGATGACTAGGAGCCATTATTTATTGATTGGCAGTTCTGAACTGCATTCCTATTGTTATTCAAGATACATTTAAAGTACTTACTTGTAACTCAGGAGTTACTGCAAGAGGAGAAAGTGGGGAATAGTGAAAAAGATCAAGAATATCTCAAACCCCTCATTTGACAGAATTCAGGTACTAATTCAGCATAATATCTTTATATTATATTAATAACAGTAGGGAGAGATTACTAACAAAAACATAATCACCATAAAGACTATAATTAAAACATAAGCATGCTAAACATATATTAGTTTTTTAAATTTTTTTGGGTTGATAAATCCCATTCCTAATAACAATGTGCAGCAGACCAAGAACATCCACTTAAACTGGGCACCAGAAACAGGATATTATACTCTGGGGAATTCCAAGCACAATGAACAGATAGTAGCCTTTTATAGAATAATAGAGATTTATCAAAATTTAGGATCTTAAGTATTGCCCTAAGTAGCTTTACTACAAATTGATTCAAGAAGACTGCATGTAAGAGTAAAGAAATCCTGGCAGATCTGAACTGCTTCTTTATATTACTAGTTTTTATCTCGTCCATTGTGTGGTGGTTTTGATCCTGGCGGGATTCCAAATACCCACTGGAAGCTGCTTTTCCTCCCTCCTCCCTCCTCTGTTCTTTTCGAGGAGAGAAAAAACAACAGTCAGAGAATTCCTGAGTAGAGATAAGAGCTGGGAGAAGTTACTTAGTGATCATGGGCAAAACAGATTCAAAGGGAATAGAACTTAAATTTATTTCTAACAAACTTAACTAAAAGCTAAATTCATTGCTATCAGAATACGAGCTAAGGACTTAAAGAATAAAACAGTCTTAAAACACAACACCCTCCACCTCCCCCCCATCCCCCATTCCTCCTTGTTCTCAGTCCTCCCCCCAGTAGTGCAGGGAGATGGGAAGGTTAATTGAAAATTTCCTGTGCTTTAAGCTTAAAGACATACATCTTCAATTCTCTCCATGTCATCTTCGCACTTTCATTGACATTCTACCACAGGCTGCAGTGCAATTTACTGTGTTTTTTGTCTTTTTATTTTTTTTTTTTTAATGTATTTTGAACAGGTTTTCAGAAAAGGGAATCCCCAAACCAATTGGTTTAGTCCTGACTCTGGGACCCTAAAAACTCTTCTTGTTGTTTGAACAACATATCAGGGAGCCTGAGACTTTTTTACAAAGCTGTAGAATACTGTGGAGGTGTGATAGAATGAAATGTTGTTAATGTCTTAAACATTCTCAGAGTCATAGAAAGACTTTTTGTCAAACTGCAAGGAAGCAAATGCCTGTCTATGACCACCAAAGCACATCCCCTGATGAAGCCACTGGGTTACACGGAGTAGTAATATATTTTCTATTTCATCTTTATCTGTCACTCTCATTTTTCCCTGCCTCTCCTTTTTCCTATTTCTTTCTATCTCTCTCTTTCTGCCTCACATTTACTGGTAAATAAAATCAATACATTGACTTTGGCATATGGTCTTGTTTGCACCTTGATTCGGGCAGAGGCATTTCTAATAATTTTGATAATCAGATATAAGAGGTGGTACCTTGTTACTTCTTCATACTTGTAACCCATTTCCCGGCAGTGTGGATGGGCCAGTCATGCCATTATGAATACATATCTAATATAATCTGTCTACTTCTTATAAAACCACTATGTTCTTAATAAAAACAGCATCACACATCAAAATCATATAAGCTGCCCAAGTATAAAAGCTAGCATAGCAGTGTGATTGCTTATAGCATCACAAACCTCATGATGCTCCTGTCTACTGATGATCATGTCCACTAATCATTCCGGATACAGACAGATTGCCAAGCCCTACATCAGTAAGAATACAAAAACGGGCAAATTCTTCACCTTGCTGGATACACAAGAGTGGGCTGCTCAGAAACTTAGTTGTTGTTGCTGAATTTTACTGGAATCTTTTTGAATGAGAGGGCTGCTTCCTTTTTAAGTACTTTAATTTAATGATTTCCAATAATGACTTTGCCTTAAAAAAAAAATCTATATAAATTCTATTAATAATTCCTTATTAAAATACCTGTGCAATATTACTCAGAGCTCTAACCTTTTCCATTCATTTGCTAATCAAAAATATATTGATATAAACTAAAAATAGAATCTGTAAAACAAGCAACTGAAAAAGTTTTAAATTAAAGAAAGTAACCCAAAATATATGAAAAAACAATAGCTGTAACTGATGGCTGTGGGCTTAAATTACCTCTTGTTCCCCTGGGAATACACATAGCAAATTTTCAGGACAAACTTGTTTTTAAAGTATTCTTACATAAGCATTTCAGAAACACTTAGTCCTGCATTTCTGGATGCCACATGTGGCTGAGATCTATAAAAAGTTAAGAGTTTCATTCTGCCTTCTATTTCATAATTAGATTAATGTAGCTAAAAATATCGTGAGCTGCTACTAAAACCACTGCATGAGTATATAGAATAGTAAGCTTTGAATGTTTAGACAAAAGTACTCACACCTGCTAGAAATCACTGGCATATAGATAATCTTATTTAAAAGACTAGTCCTGATGTGTAATGACACATAACGCTTAAGAGTGCCTATTGACAGCAACTTCTTTTTATCTCCCCACTGGTTTACAGCAATCTTCAAACACCTCCTGTAAGAACTCCTGAGATCACAGCTTGTAATGAAGGGAATATTTGCTAGGGTGTAACTGGAGTAAGTTCTGCACTTGCCTGCTGCCAGCTGGAGCTTGTTGAGGTTTCTTGGGGCAACCAGGGAAGAAGCCAATTGCATGACTGCTTAAGTAACAAGCAACAGGACAAGAGAAAATGGCCTCAGGTTGTGCAAGGGGAGGTTTACATTAGATATTAAGAAAAATTTCTTCATCAGAAGTGTTGTCAAGCACTGGAACCAGCTGCCCAGAGAAGTGGCTGAGCCACCATCTCTGGAGGTATTCAAAAGATGTGTAGATGTGGCATGTGGGGACATGGTTTAGTGTTGGACTCAGCAATGCTGAGTTAATGGATGAACTCAATGATCTTAAAGGCCTTTTCCAACCTAAATGATTCTATAACTCTATGATTCTGTGATTGTACCATCGTGGTCGTTCAAAGCCTGGTGAGCTCTGCAGCTGCTGCTGTTGCTTTAGCCATCTGTTGGGCCAGCACTGACAGTGAGTCAAAACCCTCTGTACGTGGAAAGACTACACAGCTGTATTCCAAATTATTGCCAAAAAGGGACTAAAACTGTGGAAAGCCTAATAATAAAACTAATATGCGACTGCTGCTTAAGAAGAAAGATAAAAAATAAAAAATTAAGGTATAAATGAATAATCAAAATAAAATGCATAGCTTTCAAACTCCAGATAGATGAGCAAAACATTTTAAAGCCTTTTTCCTAACATTAGACAAATAGAAAATGCTATCAAAGTCAGTAACAAAATCATGAAAATACACAAGCATAAAAAGGCAGCACACCATATGTCCACCAATATCTAGTACAACAGGAACATTAAGAAAGCCATTAAGATAGTGTCCCCATTGTGCCCAGGTATACAATAACATATGGTACATTTCCTGCTTCACTGTGCATTTCCTTGCTTTTTTTGTTTAGCATCACAAATTCAGAGCTCAATTAATATAGTTTGTGTGTGCATTTCTTCACAGAACATTTAAAAATTTTTCACTGCTGTTTAAATTAATCTCTTTTTTTTGTTGTTGTTGTGCAAGTGCACAGTAAGTATTAATGTAAGATGGGATTCTTTCCAAACCTTAATTAAATGGAAGAGCAAGATAAAACTATTTTAAGGTAGCTGCACACACAACACTTAAATTATTATTGTCGTCTTATTTAATCCTCACACAATTTGCTGTAATGATACTATAGAGAGACATTACAAGGTTGTTGTTTGTTTTAATCAATGATGACTTCCCAAGGACAGATGTGGGTATTTCCCAGGAGTATAAATTAGTGGCAAAATAGTAGAGGACTAGTGTAACAGTGTTAAAGAAAATATGTCAAGAAAATTTATTCTTGAAAACCTAAAATTTAAGGAAACTCAGGATTTCCAAAATCAAGATGAAATTTATTTGTAGAACACATTATGTCTCTCTTTGGTACTTAGAGATTTCACGTGCCTCCTTGAAGAGCTGAACTTTACCACACTAGCTCAATCCTATCGAGATTCCTTTTTGATTTCAGGACTCCTTATGGAAACTAAAAAATAGTTCTGTTCTCAAAGGAATGCTGTTAATTATCTTATGTGTCTTTCTAAAAGAGTCATATAGTGTTTCATGAGTTGGATATAGAAAATGAAATTAGAGTGAAAATAACCCCCCCCACATCTCAAATACTTGCATCAGAAATGGTGTTTTTTTCAAATAAATCAGTAGACAAATAAGAAATATCCTGAATACATATTTTTAAAATACAAAGGGTGGGAGTTCACTTAATAACAATAAATAATAAATGTTAGTTCATATTCACTACGATTTGTCATTTACTGTCTCACCAGTAGCTGTGGTGCTATGCAGAACTATTTGAAAAGTCATGCATAGATTACTTCCAAGTGTGGGTATAGAAGGAAGGGATCTCTGGTATGAAACCAAATCTAAGTTAAGAAAGGAAATCATTATAACCTTAAGCTAGCATCTTTATTGGTATAAACTACATCTTAGTGTTAGACATTTATTAACGACTAAAATAACTAATATTCTGAGTGGC